GGGAAACCAAAAAAGAAAAGGACAACATGCGGGAACAAAACCAACTGTTAGCGAAGAGAGGATGCTCATGTCTTCATCATTCATGTTTCTACTTTCTACCAGCCAGGTGGCTGCATACATAATACCTCTAGTTAGTCCCTCGGTGTTCGGCGGTAAACATACAGGTAGAGCTCGGCTCGGCTCCAGTCTTTCTTGCACCCTTTGTTTCCCCTCCTCCTGACACGTTTTTCTGATCAGTCGTCAAGCAGAGATTTCAAGATGAAGTGCAGATTCTAGCCTTGCAGATGCGCCTAAGAGAGGGCTTCGGAACACTCGGCTGTCCGCGAAGCAAGGCTGCGAACATGAGGTACTAGGGTATCTAGAGGTAACGTATTACCTTTTTGATACCTCTACCTGCGTTGTTTCTATATGTGCTCGCATCCAGTGCAGCAAAGTCGGAAACGGCGAATTTCAATAGTTGTCCTTATGTCTCGTTGCCTTACGGCAGTAGCTCGGAAGACTCGTTGTCCGATGGCTGATGCTTGACTACCTACCTCTAGGTAGGTATGCTCGAGTTTTCATCAGCCATCGCTCCTTCCGATGAGCGCCGAACTGTTTGGAAGGTACCGTCCGACCTTGCCTCCGACTGTTCTTGAGCCTCTCTGGTGTATGAAATGCATGCCCATGAGCACGTATGAATAGAGGCATTGCAGACATCATGGAAAGCTCTTTCCAACTTGTAAGGAATCGCTCAGTCAAGTACCATACAATGCAAAGGCGAGAAAGAACAGTGATACCTGTCTTCAACTACTACTACGCAACGTGCAGCCAAGGTCTGATTACAGACGTGTTTTGTTTTTCTCTTTCTCTCTAAATTTCTTATAAAAGAACAGAGGCCCCCCCCCCCCGGCTCCCTTCCAAGATCCAAGGTACCTACTCATCATCTCATCATCTCTCCTCTCACTTCATTAGTTCACTTTCAAAGTCAACTCTCCGCACCCATCTTCCAACTCCAACATTTTCGAACTCAACATCGAAGTCTCTACACCAATCTTCCAACTCCAACAACTCGACATCGCAAATTCCAAAAACCTTCTTCAAATCACATCCATCTCTCTTTCCACAATGTACTCTACACGTAACAACAAGCAGCAGGTGGTGGGCTTCTCGAACCCTCAAGCCCAACTCGCGCCTTTCTTTGGTCCTGGCATGGGCCCATCACCTCTGGTCGTTGGTTCTGCCCCTGTTTTGCCTCCGGCCATGTTCTCTGAGCCGGTTAATCCGGTTTCCTCGATTCTCCCCCTTGGTCCCCCCCCCCTGCCAGCATGAAGGTTACGAGAAAAGGACGAAGGGATTAAAGAGGCCGGATCAGCCTCATCGGCCCATTCCTCCCCCTTGTGAGGAGCCGGCAGAGGTGACCGTCAAGTTGGCCACCTGCAAAAATACAGCCAACTATGCCGGACGCGTGGTTGGGAGTATCAACCCTCTTTGGACGGTTGCTGAGCTCAAGCAACATTTCGAGCTCCAGGCCAACCTCGGTGGGATCCCCGCCAACAAGCAGGCCCTCCGGATGGAGCGTCCTGCGATTCCAGGGTTCGATTCTGCAGAGTCTTTGGACGATGTCGTCGTCCTCAAGTACATTGGGGTTGACCGGGGTGCTCCGGTCTGTGTCATCTGGCTAGAGCGTCGCATGGAAAGTGGTGGTATTCCGGCCATGACAGTGGCTCCAGCCGGGGCTCCGACTGGCCTGCAGCAGTTGTTCCAGTTTTCGACTACCGAGGGGAATCAAGCCCAACACCATGTACAGCTTCAATTCCAACAACTCCAGCACCAACAACAACAACAACGGCATCGACTACAGCTCCGACAACAAGTCCAATACCAACAGCGGGTACGGCAGCGTGTTCTCCAAGAGGAGAAAAACACCGTTACCGGCTTCCAAGGCCCTATCGTGAGGCCAAGCCAGGTACGGAGCGGTGGTGCTGTGGCTGGAGTTGTTGGTCCGACTCCCCAGGAAGCACCCAGACAGGCTGGGTCCAATGAACCTGCAGGTTTAAGACAACGGGAACCTCCGCGAGCGTGGCGCCAGTCAAACCACCATCAACAACGGCATCACCCTTTTCAGAGGCCGAAAGACCAACACCGGGTCAGCAAACCGCAGGGGCAACGTTCCAAGCCACAGCAGCAGCAGCAGCAGCAGCAGCAGGAGCGAGCTCTCCCAGCGGAGAATTCTGTGGTGACGCTGGGGCTGCCAGGGGGTGGTGAAGTTCATGCTCCGTCTCGGGGAGCTCCTGCTGTGTTTGGTCTAGAGGCCAGATCGCTGGTGTGGCAGGATAGAGTCAGTGCCACCGAGCTGAAGCAATACCAGCAGCAACGTGAACCCCAGCAAACCCTGGGGCAGATGTGGGCGGATCTTGATGACTCCCCTATTGTCGTCGACAATGGACATGAAATCGACGACGACAACGGTTTTCTCAACGTCCTGCGTCACATCCGTCCGGAATCCGACGTCTCTGCCATTATTAATGGCTCTCGGATTCTGACCCAGCGGCGGCAGCGACAACCGCAATGAACCAGCAACAGTTGTTGGCAGCTGCTGCTACTGTCAACCAGATCGATCCTGCCCACAATTACTACCCATCGAGGAGGGAAACTACCTACCTACCTGGTCGAGCAACCTCACTGGGAAACGCTACCTTGGTGATGATTTTGATGGCAGGTTGGGATAGCAATGAGCCACGAATACGAACAAATTATCATAGGAACAAGGTTTGATGACATGGACGAAGACACAATCTCTTTCTTTTTCTCATAGGTACACACATGCATGTACGAGTAGCTAGGTACCTCTACCCACCACTACAGATTTCTACTTTCCATCAAGAGCAAGCATACCGGTTGCTAAAGAAAAAACAGCAGTCAGCAGAGGAAGACACTAGTTGGGGAGGAGCAGATCCGTACGGCACGCCAAATCTCTGAATGAACAAGGCCAAAATACGCTCCTTCTTGATGCGAAGGGAGCCAGTATACAACCCCCAGGGCCAGCCGCCTTTTTTCTCAACAAAGACTCTCTGTGGAGGGCATTTCACCACTCCAGAACCTTGGAGGTGAGCAAGGATCGCCTTGCGATATCCATCGGCCATGTTAAAAGCCGACATGAGCCTTTGAAGAGTGTCAACGTCGTCTGGGAGTCGCCACTCGAGGTACATCAGGCCAGCTACAGGAGGATGCTTGAGGGAAAAGATCTCCACCTCCCTGGCAAAGACGTGGTGACAAGAGTCGTATTCGATTCCTTGGAGGCTGTCTTCCGGGAGCGGATCAGCTGAAAGATTGATAAAAACTTCTACTTTCCATCACCATCTCATCCAGCCACTCCGTCGTCCACAACACATCAAACCCTTATTCCCTCCTATAAACTACCTGCGGTCGTTCGGTGGGTTGTACTTCCATCTCCATCAATCTTCTGGGTCAACCGACAACATTTACTCAGCCACCAGCTTCGTATCCCAAGACCGCAACAAGGCAAGCTGCGCGTTGCCGTCTACGCCCAGTCTCTTTCATCATCCACAATGTCCAACCAAGGCCAAGCCACGAAGTCGCTCAGACCTCAGCCTGACGTGCAGTACAGCAACACCACGGGGTGGTGGACGCTGAAACATACCTACACAACATCCGCACAACACATAGCCCTCTGTCCATAACAGGTTTAGGAACCGGTGGCGGTGAAGATCATCTTTTGGGAGATGCACATGCAGACCGGGAGCGGAACTGTCACATCACCTCGACGTTCCCATCCCTATCCCGTAGACGTTTTCTGTCACCGGGGAGCTAGCGAAGGCTGAAGTAGTAAGAATGGGCACGGCAAGGGTGACATTTCAGCTCTAGATTTCTGGTCCGTCCTCATCAGTTGATCAGGCCTGATACTGAGATTCAAATTTGCGATGATACCTTCGTTTCAGTTCAGTACATGTATGGTACCCAGGTGTCACCCTGTGCCCTGCCTACGCAACCAGGCAGTCATCTTTTCATCTTCTTTCTTCACCTCTTTTCACCTAGATACCTATCTCCAGGTCTCTGTCAGCGAATCCTTTTTTTTTTTTTTTTTTTTTTTTTTTTTTCGTTTCTTTCTTTTTTGTCTTTTTCTTCCTGTATCTCTTTCTTTCTTCCTTCCTTTCTGTATCCCTCTTATTCTTCTTTTCTTTCTGGTTTTTTTTTTTTTTTTCCTTCCCTCCTGATCATCAATAAGGTTGGGCAACATCATGATAATGATTCGGAAGGAGCTTTCTGTACCTTACAATACCTGAAGTTCTGAGAGGACAAGGCAGGGTAACTTGCAGATTGACTCGGTACCTACAATAGTGCAGTGTCTATTCTGTTGGACTGGTCACTACCTAGGTAGTTGGGTGTAAGGGGAGGTAGAAACAAAAAAGACGAAAAAAAAGGGTTGTTTACTTACCTACCGTTCGACATGAGATGTTGGAGAGATAATATGGGCGCAACTTTTTTAGTCATGTAGTATCCTTGGTTTTTATTTGATTCGGTTGTGGTTTGGATACACATTGGTCCAAAGGTATATGATGCCTGGGAATTCGCGTCAGCAAGGGGAGGAAGTAGCCTGAATTATCAGGATGGCTTCTGCTTTTGTTAAAGTTACCTCTGAACAGTTTAAAGGATTAGCAAACGGCCATTTTTATACCAATTGCCCTGTCAATATGAAATGTTATTTCACAGTGTCTGCCCTCTGTGTTCTCCTTGCCGTCTACGGGTGTAAGAGATTTGTCTCGGCAGCAAAACTGGTCCTAGCTGAATCCAGTGTCCGCAGCAAGAAACACCGGGCGAAATAAGGTTGTTGGGATGGAGTATGATGCTTTGATTCTCATTAAGTTCGTTATCTAATAACGATTAGGTACCTTACTTTACTTTACTCATGTTCCGTCCATGCCATCCATCCCTCCAGTCCATGCCAGTTCCGATTCCATCCCATCGCCTGCCTACCATACAACCAAAACAAAGTAGAAAGTGAAGAAAATTAGAACAGAAAAACGCCCGCTGTGCCATTACCAAACCATCTACATCTCTTCTCATTATCCACAGTACACCCCCACCCCTTCTACTCGTAAGCCGTAAGCCCCTCCTCCCACAAATCAGACCAGTTAGTTACCGCTGCGGCACCACGGGCGTAGGCGGCATATTCCTGATTTGCTTAATCAAAAACTCCCTCTCATCAATAAACTGCTCGTCATCCGTCCTATCCTCCAGGAAATGACTCAGAAAGTGCAGTAACTTTTCTCGATTCATCAACAAAATCTTTTGCACCGGCACACTCTTGTGGGGGTTGGCGACAAACACCTTGAAGACATGGAAGCCTTCGTACTGGACCATCTTGCGGTCGTCTCGGAGCAGGTTCATGCAGATCTTGAGATGCTCGCCGCGGTCGACGTAGGCGGTCATGACGTTGTAGTTGGATCGGTCCAAGAGGATCTCGCCGAGGAGTTTGATGGATTGGCGCTTGGTGACGTACGAGGTGGACTGGATTAGGATGGAGTTGTATTTGGAGAAGAAGAGGTCAAAGTTGGTTTGGAGGTAGTGGGGGACTAGGTCTTTGTGTTTTGTTAGGAGTTCCTGCAGCATTGCATTTTTCCTTGTTAGTGAATCATGCCGAAAAGAGGGCCGGGGGGGGGGGGGGGGGGGGGGTTAAGGGGAGACGAGAAAAAGAGAAACACATACCCGGAAAGTAGTAAAGGCATCAGCCGCCACTTCAAACGAGCCCCTATCTATCCAGTCAAAAAAGGACCAAAATATCCCGTTGCCCGTCTGCTTCCTGTTCTTATCAATGGCCCCGACTCCCCGCGCACTCGACCCTGGCTCGTCGCCGTCGTCGTGCAGAATCACGGCCGTGGCGGCCTCACTGCTCTTGATGAGCTCTTTCAGAACGGTGCCCGCGTGTTGTGCGCTTTCCTTGTGGTCGTAGCCCTTGCACAGCTCGATCAGGACTTGGGGCCGTCTTTCCACCACGTAGGCGAGGGCGAGCGGTTCGGCGCGGGCGGGCGCGTTGGGTGGACGGAAGCGGAAGACGTAGGAGAAGATGACTTGGGTGTCTTTTCGGGAGTCGAAGGGGAGGCGGTAGAGGTTGATGGCGAGGAGGTACAGGAGGTCTTCTTCGATCATGCCGGTGACCAATTGGTATTGGTGTTCGAGGGAGGCTTCTTGTTCTGTTGTAGACAGACAGAGTGTTGGTCAGTCAACCGCCGGTGGACACATATGGATATGGATAGGATATGGGTATAAGTTCAACATACCATGGGTCCCTTGTAGTAACTGTTTCATTTGTGACAGTACTTTGGCCAGCTCCTCCACCTTTCCCTGGGGACCCTGATCAAGCTTGACGACATGTTCGCGGGCTTGTCGGGGCAGATCGCTGACGTTGGTTCTTGTCCTTGCTCTCCCAAAGAGGAATGACATTTTGGTCTTGGATGAGTACTAGGTACCGTGGAAGTCGGAATGGGTGTCGAGAGTAGTAGAGTGTGTGTTGTCCAAGGAGGGCAAGTGTCGGAGGGTCAACAACGGACAGTGAGAGGAGTCCGGGCCGTCGGTCGTGACTTGGTTGGTGTCGCGACAACGAAGCGGATCGAAGAGCGACGGGAGTGGTGGTCAACAAGGTGTTTGGATGGATGCATGTCCAGGGGTCTGGCCAGTGGAAATTGTTAAGCTCAGGCCCTGCAGCGGGTGTATTTGTTAGTCTACGACCTCCGGTCAGCTTGGCTGGGGTGTCTCTACACTTTCAACTTACGCCTTTTTTTTTTTTTTACTCTGTCAATTGCCTAATCAAACTTGGATCATAGGTAACCTACTACCCAGACATTGGTTATGTGTATCTAACTTCCATCTCGTAAGTTATATTACTGAATTCTTTCACCTTTGGAGTCGGACTCAAAGGGTGTTGCTTGGAGTATTGAAAGTATCCAGCTAACAGACACATTGAGAGAGTGCCTGGATGCAGGGACACAGCGGGAAGCATGCGTTTATTGAGAAAAATGTAAAAGTGTTAGTGAGTACTCGGATTCATACCACATTTATGAGAGTGGAAAAAGTCTCTCGTATCTCAACAACACCAACTGAACCCCGCAAACCGCCCGTCCCATCTGTTTCTTGCCCCTCTGTTTTATCGGATTGCCGCCCCCCCCACCACCAATCCGCAGCGGCCGGTCGCATTGTTCTGGAATTGGAAGTCCGTCGACTTTCTCCAAACGAGTCACACTCGCGCCCGTCTGCCTTTTTCTCCAACACATCGCGGCGACAGGAACGTACACAGAGGTGAGTCAGGTCCATTGTCTATACACTACTTATTACTCCAAACCCCTCTTTTTTCTGTCACATAGCTAGTCTGTCTGTTTGCGACTCAAGTAGAGAGCAGCGCATATCAACAAACAGACTGGGGAAAACTCTTTCCGTTCTCAAGGTCTCAACACCAAGAGACATCATCATCACCATCACCACCACCAAACTAACTAACTAACACCCAATACCCCAGGCCACTCTCAACGTCCGCCCACCATGTCGATCGATTTCCCCAAGGAAGAGGAAAACACCATCCAGCGATGGCGCGAGATCAAGGCCTTTGAGACCCAGGTCGAGCTGTCCAAGGGCAACCCGCTCTACACCTTCTACGATGGCCCGCCCTTCGCCACCGGCCTCCCCCACTACGGCCACTTGCTCGCCTCGACCATCAAGGACATCATCCCCCGATACTGGTCCATGAAGGGCTTCCACGTCGAGCGCCGCTTCGGCTGGGACACGCACGGCCTGCCCATCGAGCACGAGATCGACAAGAAGCTGGGCATCTCAGGCAAGGCCGCCGTCATGGAGATTGGCCTCGAAAACTACAACGCCGAGTGCCGGTCCATCGTCATGAGGTATCGCGAGGAGTGGCGCCACACGGTCGAGCGTCTCGGTCGCTGGATCGACTTTGACAACGACTACAAGACCATGGACCCGACCTTCATGGAGTCCGAGTGGTGGGTCTTCAAGCAGCTGTTCGACAAGGGCCAGGTCTACCGCGGCTACCGCGTCATGCCCTACTCGACCGCCCTCACCACCGCCCTCTCCAACTTCGAGGCCAACCAGAACTACCAGGACGTCACCGATCCCGCCGTCGTCGTCGCCTTCCCCTTGATCGAGGACCCCAACACCTGCCTCCTTGCCTGGACCACCACGCCCTGGACCCTGCCCTCCCACACCGGCCTGGCCGCCCACCCCGACTTTGAATATGTCAAGATCGCCGACGAGAAGAGCGGAAAGAACTACATCCTGCTCGAGAAGCTCCTGACGACGCTCTACAAGGACCCCAAGAAGGCCAAGTTCAAGGTGCTCGAGAAGATTAAGGGCAAGGACATGCTCGGCTGGAAGTACGAGCCCCCCTTCAACTACTTCTACGACGAGTACAAGGACGTTGCCTTCAAGGTCCTCAACGCTACCTACGTCACCGACGACAGCGGTACCGGTATCGTCCACCAGGCCCCCGCCTTCGGTGAGGACGATTACAACGTGGCCGTCGAGGCGGGTATCGTCACCGAGAAGCGCCCCCCTCCCGACCCGGTCAACGAGACTGGCCACTACACTGACCGCGTCTCCGATTTCGCCGGCATGCACGTCAAGGAGGCCGACAAGCACATCATCAAGCACCTCAAGAACTCGGGCAAGCTCGTTGTCGAGTCTCAGCTCAAGCACTCGTACCCCATGTGCTACCGCTCCGACACGCCCCTCATCTACAAGGCCGTGCCCTCGTGGTTCATCCGCATCCCCGACATCATCCCCCAGATGTTGAAGAACATTGAGGGCTCCCACTGGGTCCCCTCCTTTGTCAAGGAGAAGCGTTTCGCCAGCTGGATCGCCAACGCCCGCGACTGGAACGTCTCGCGTAACAGGTACTGGGGTACTCCCATCCCTCTGTGGATGAGCGACGACGGCGAGGAGATTGTGTGCATTGGCAGCATCGAAGAGCTCAAGCAGCTTTCCGGCTACGAGGGTGAGATCACCGATCTCCACCGTGACAAGATCGACCACATCACCATCCCCAGCAAGCAGGGCAAGGGTGTCCTCAAGCGTGCTGAGGAGGTCTTTGACTGCTGGTTCGAGTCTGGTTCCATGCCCTACGCCTCCCAGCACTACCCCTTCGAGAACGTCGAGAAGTTTGAAAAGTCCTTCCCGGGTGACTTCATTGCCGAGGGTCTTGACCAGACCCGTGGTTGGTTCTACACCCTTCTTGTCTTGGGTACCCACCTCTTTGGTGTCTCTCCTTTCAAGAACTGCGTCGTCAACGGTATCGTGCTTGCCGAGGATGGCAAGAAGATGTCCAAGCGTCTCAAGAACTACCCCGACCCTACTCTTGTCATGAACAAGTATGGTTCGGATGCCCTCCGTCTGTACCTCATCAACTCTCCTGTTGTGCGTGCCGAGCCGCTCCGCTTCAAGGAGGCTGGTGTCAAGGAGGTCGTTGCCAAGGTTCTCCTTCCTCTGTGGAACTCGTACAAGTTCTTTGAGGGCCAGGTTGCTCTCCTCAAGAAGGTGGAGAACGTCGACTATGTGTTTGACCCCAAGATGGAGTCTTCCAACGAGAACGTGATGGACAAGTGGATTCTTGCTTCGTGCCAGTCTCTGCTCGAGTTTGTCAACGAGGAGATGAAGGGTATGTCGTTCCCCTCCCTTTTTTGTTGCTAAAGTTCAATGCTAACACTACGTCCAGGTTACCGCCTCTACACTGTTGTCCCTCGCCTCCTCGAGCTCATCGACAACACCACCAACTGGTACATCCGCTTCAACCGCAAGCGTCTTAAGGGCGAGAACGGCCTCAACGACACCCTCCACGCCCTCAACACCCTCTTCGAGGTCCTCTTCACCCTCTGCCGTGGCCTCGCCCCCTTCACTCCCTTCCTCACCGACACCATCTACCTCAAGCTCCTTCCCCACATTCCCAAGGAGCTCCAGGCCAAGGACCCCCGCTCCGTGCACTTCCTCCCCTTCCCCGAGGTCCGCAAGGAGCTCTACAACCCCGACGTCGAGCGCCGCGTGCAGCGCATGCAAAAGGTCATTGAGCTCGCCCGCTACTCGCGCGAGAAGCGTTCGGTTGGTCTCAAGCAGCCCCTCAAGACCCTTGTTGTCATCCACCACGACGAGCAGTACCTTGCCGACATCGAGTCGCTCAAGGGCTACATTACCGAGGAGCTCAACGTGCGGGACCTCGTGCTCACTTCAGACGAAGCCAAGCACGGCGTTCAGTACTCGGTCTCGGCCGACTGGCCTGTGCTCGGCAAGAAGCTCAAGAAGGACATGGGCCGCGTTAAGAAGGCTCTTCCGTCGGTCACCTCGGATGAGGCCCACGCCTACACGCAGACGGGCAAGCTCGTTGTGGACGGCATCACGCTCGAGGCGGGCGACCTGGTGGTCAAGCGCGGTCTCAAGGAGGACGACAGCTCCAAGAACCTCGAGACCAACACGGACAACGACGTGCTCACCATCCTGGACGTGGAGATTTACCCCGGCCTGGCGGAGGAGGGTCTGGCGCGTGAAATCATCAACCGTGTGCAGAGGCTGCGCAAGAAGGCTGGTCTCCAGCCGACGGATGATATCAAGATGGAGTACAAGGTGACGGCGGACCCCGAGGAGACGGGTATTGAGAAGGTGTTTGACACGCAGATGGCCATGATTGAGAAGGCGCTCAGGAGGCCGCTGGATAAGCACGAGGTGACGCATGTGGAGGGCAAGATTCCGGCGGAGAAGGAAGAGGGCATCATTATGGAGGAGGAGCAGGAGGTTGGCAAGGCTACCTTCTTGTTGAGGTTGTTGAAGCTTTAAGTTTAAAGTCTACACTAGTAGAAAAGGTTGTAGATGTGATGTGGGAAAAGTTCAAGCGAGTCAAAACATGTGTGGGATAGACTAGCAATGATGGATGATGGATGATGAAATGTTTAAAAATATTCAAAAAGATTTCTGGTACTTTGTGTCTTGTGGTTTACCTAGAGGCAGACTAGGTAAGCTATGCTTTCTTGGCGGCCAACTGTGTGTGTGTGAATTACCATCATGTCAGCTTTGCCCCCCTTTGAGGAAGTGGTACAAGTACCTAAACAGTGGACGTGGAGAAATACACACCATGTAACAATCCTTCAAGCGCATAAACTCCTTGACGCACATGTCCTTGTGGACGGAGTTGTAGTCTGCTAGGATGCATTTGCCGTAGGCGGCGGACTGCGTGTGGATGTGCCAGTTTCAGTTGATTGAGTGTTTATGGAAAAAGAGACATGGGAATAGTTTCACTCTCTTACCTCGACGGAGCACTTGGACACGGCCGAGGCAAACCGCTGGATGGGGCGGACGGTGGCTTTTGGGGGCTGCATCTTGACAATCCGTCCGTGCTTTGTCTTTCAACTTCGAAGAGAAGATGTGATTTAGGTGTAGTGGTTGACTGTGAGGCTCTCGATGTAGGTAGCCTCGGATGGAGGTGATGACACTCGTGACGTTGGCGCTCTTCGTCTTCTTCTCTTCACACTCGGTTTATTGTTAGGAAGATACCTTGCTTCAGGCTGAAGAGGCCTGTGTGTCTGAGGTTTCCTTTCATCTGATCTCAATGCGCTGAAACCAATCTAGCGGCAGCGCGCCAAGCAGTGCAGTGCGTCTAATTGATACCGGACTAACAACTTTGGCAGCAATTGGAGTCGTATTCTGTTAGTATGGGTGATCACAGCCTGCACCTTTTACCGGGCAATGCTGGGCTCTTCCCGCTGCCGTGCGCACGCGTCTCAATCGCATTGGGCTTCAGCTTCCCTTCCCTTGAGGTTCCTTCTCCGCACTGCAGTGCAGTCAGTGGTTGGTTGCCCGTCCAGCGGTCGCATCGCAGTTGTTGTGCGTGTTTGTGTCTCCTCCACGATTTGCATCACCACCACCACCTCCACGCTACTTGTACCTCTACACTACACTACATTCTCCCGCTTCGACGGGAAGAAGCACCAGCAGCAGCAGCAATAATCGCAATCGCCAAACCCTCCATCTCAGCGAAAACCCCCGTCGATACCTACGTTCACATCGTTTGCAACCTCTTCAGCTTTTGCTCAATTTGCCTTTTTCATTTCGAAACCTCCGGCCGGTGATGGTGATCCTTTCTTAGTCGAATACCCGATAAACAAACCTCGTCTTGTATACCCAAGGGCGGCCGTTGTCGTCAAGGTGGGATTGGAATTGGAATTGGAATTGCGACAACCCACCACTTTTTGTCATCAGGCGCGCTCTCGATTCTCGGCCTAGCACAGCATCGCCAGTTTTTCGGTCCATCGCAGTCGCAGTCGCATTCTCACTTACCGACCCTAGAGCCCTATAACCTTAGCATTACACTACGGCAATCTACAGTCGCAAAGAATACAGCAAATTGCCCACACCTATCCAAACGTTGTACGAGGGCGCATACACCGTGCTTTGACCAGAGTCGGGATTAGGCTTTCCATAGTCATGCCTTGGAGGTGGCGGCGCCCTCTCACATGCCGCCTCCATCCTCTCTGCCCCTCCACCACCGAGATGGCAGGGCCGGGCTACCACAGTTATCCTCCTCTTCGCGACAGCAGGCCGGACTCGGAAATCCCAATATCAGCAACAGCAACAACAACAACAACAATGGCGGCACCAACGCCAACGCCAATACCAGCTTCCCCCCACAAGCTCAAGCGCAAGCTCACAGCAATGAGCCCTACTACTCTAATGAAGGTCCGCTTCTTTCCCCCCATCTCCCCTCCCTCCCTCCCTCCTTGCCTTTCCCGGCAATTAACACAGGCAACCCGGGGGCACAACAGACATCGAGCTCCTCCACGAAATCGTCACCCTCGCCGAGTCCATCCTCCCCTCCCTGCCCGAGCGCGACCGGCTCCCCACGAACGCGCTCTTCCAAGCCGCCGAACAGATCCTCCCCGCCCATGGCTACCCAGACCCGGACCAGGCGCCCTCGCATATCTCGCGGCTTATCTTTAAGATTGGGGGCCAGCGATGCGCTCCGAACTCGAAAGGGGAAACCAGTCTGCTGGATCGGTTTCGAACCGTCTTAGCGGGTATGGGCATCATGTTGGAGTATGTGCCTAGTAGTCCGGTGGTGGGAGGGAGGAGTCGGGAGCAGTCGCCTGCTGGCCCACCAGGAGCAGGCGGACGAGGGGGGTTGGGGACGGCGCGGGATAAGGCTGCGGGATCCAGGTCGAGGAGTGTCTCGGTTTCGGGCAGATCGCTGGGCGGGTTCTCGTCAGTCTTTAGTGATGACGACGAGGACGTGACGGGCGGTGAACTCGATATCAAGCTGCGACGGTTACTGCCGAAAAGGAGACACAGTTCCGTTTCGAGACCGCTTGCGCTTGGAGGACTACCGATTCGGTCAAGGGCACGGTCGGCGAGCTTTACGGACCCCAATGCCTTGCCTGGGGACACGCTTAGGGGCGAGAGGGCTAGGAGACTGGAAGCGCTGGCGCAACAACGGGAACAACAGCAGCGAGAAAGAGAGCAGTTGTTGAATCGAAGGGGGAGGTCACCAGAGAAAGGCCAGGGGAGGAGGAGTCAATTGGCTTCGAGGTCCAAGAGTTCGGTCCGCGAGTACGGCGATGATGGACGACCTTTTCAACCGCATAACCCCGTGCTGGACAAGGTCAGACACATCCCTCGCGTATTCGGAGCACCGCATTACTACGACAATGCGGAAGTTGCCGCGGGCGCCTTGCCCGCTTACGCCAGACCGAACAAAGAACGGCCACGGCCCATATCCTTCTCCTCCGTAGGCGAAACCGACCTCAACCACAAATCCCCGCGAACCGATTTCTCCGAACTCCATCGCGCAACCAGCGACACCACCGTCAACACCAAAGACGAGCCCCTGCCTAGCAGTCACCACCATGCCTTTACGCGTCAACCACATCTCGACCCCGAATACCAAGAAGCAAAAGTGCGCATGTTCCGAACCGAAGACGACGCCTTGCTCCTCCGCGACGCCTTTACGTCATGGCATGACCACTTTAACCGGATCCAGCGGGATCACCACCGCCTGCTTTCTCTCGCGGCGCAAATCGACGACGAAGACATCAAGACCGAGGTCCTGGAGATATGGCTCGAGGAAACGGTCGCCGTTGTCGAAGAGCGCGAGCGCCACGAGGCAGAAGCGGAATATGAAGCGTGGGTTGACAGGATGGAGCGGCGCGCCACGAGGGTGTACGAGGTTTTCACGATTCAGAACATGTTGAATTTCTGGCAGGATCAAGCACGTGAGGAGCTGGACCGTACTGCGGTTGCGAGACGGCATCTGGTACGGAAAAGAGCATTCGATGCCTGGAGGGCGCAGCATATCCAGGATGAGACAAAGGCGAGGAACTTTGTGCTGATTCATGCGCTGCAAAGGTGGACGGCCGTGGCGCTTCATCAGGAGGTTAGACGGCATGTTGCTGAGCAGACGGAGGAAAGGGAGACGATGAGGGAAGGGTTGATGCACTGGTATCGGCTGCAAAAGGGGAGGGTGGCGGATGATTATGCCGTGTTCAAGGCCATGAAGGGGAGTTTGATGCACTGGGCTACAAGGACAAAGGAGGTGCAGGATGATCATGAGGTGGCCATCGCCCTGGATGAGAGACTCCTTCTCGACGAGGCGGTTAATATCTGGCAAGAAGAGGCCGAGGATCTCAGGTACACGGGGTACAAGTGCAGAGGGTACAAGGTTACACGGGACTGTCAGATCATCCTGGCGGATTGGCACGAGCAGAGCCGGTTGTTGCGGACACTTAGAAAGTTTCGCGCGGCTGATGAGCGCACGCTCAAGTGGAATTGTCTCGAGCATTGGCAGGAAGAAGCTGAGTACGCCCGGCGGGACGGTCTGCTGGCTGACGCCGTGCTGCTTCTTAATCCCGTGGACACCTGGAAACTGGAGCTGAAGCTGAAGCTTTGGAATATCCGCGAAGACGAAGAAACCCTCGAAGACACTTTAACTCACTGGTTCTTGGAGCAGCGTTTGGCCTTGTTCCAGCACCACGCCGCCTCTACCACCAAGAAATCCACCCTTTCAACCTGGCTCGACGCCACCCAAACCTCCCTGTCCGTCTGCCAACGCTCCGAGTCCGAAGCCGACTACTTCTACTCCGACCACCTCCTCTCCTCCTGTCTCTCAACCTGGTTCGACGCCTCCAACGCCATCTTCACCCCCCGCCACAACGCCAACCTCATCTGCCTCTACCGCACCACCAAGCCGTGCTTGGACCGATGGCGCGAAGCTCTCGTCTCCTCCACCACGCGCAATGCCTACTACGCCCGCAAAGCCTCGAAGCAATCTAAGCGCTTCACCATCGCCTCCGTCCTCGACCGCTGGCCTTTCTTGGCCAAACAGGCCCGTCGCGAAAGGATGATGGCATCCTTGCGCTCCTTCCGCCACTCCTACAAGATCTCGCTCGCCCAATCCTGTCTGAGCACCTGGTTCAACGCCCTCTTGGAAGCCGACGACCTGTCAGCAGACGCTGATGCCCTCCACCTGGATCACAACCACTCGGACCTGTACGAAACTCTTGGCTATTGGTCTTCCATTGCCCGGAGAGCGCAAGAGATAAGGGAGACTGCCGCCGACGCCGAGCTAGACTCCTACTTGGAAAACTGGATGGACAGCGCGGCGGAGATGAGGGAGGCAGAGATGGATGCCGAAGAGTGGGAAGCCGTGGGGACGATGAAGGGATGTTTGCAGAGGTGGGAGCACGAAGCGCTGCATTTGGTTGCTAAGAGGAATGCGGTGAAGGCGCTGAGGGAGAGGGAGGAGAGGCGGATGGCGGCGGGCGTGTTGGAGGGGTGGTGGGGGGTTGTCAATCCCGGGGCTGTGGTTAGAGAACGACAGATGGGTGCAGAGTTTAGTATGCTTGATCCGAGGATGAGTACGTTGTTGAGTTCGCGAAGGAGTGTGAGACATATGGGGGGACGGTATCGGGACCGCGAAAGGGGAAGCGGTGATGTGTCAGCGGCAAACTTTGGCAATAGTGTCAGCCAGTGGTTTGTCAATTCGGAGATGCCGCCTGAGCGGGAGAGGGAGAGGGATCGGTCGACGTTTCTTTTCCCTTCGGCAGCACCGATGAGACAGTCTGTTCAACTTCCTATCCGATCTGCTCCCCCATCAGCAGCTGCCCAGCAACCCGCTCAACCGCCGCCACCACCACCACCAAAGGTACCAAAGGGCTATCAACCATACCACCCCAACCCCGACCCTCCCGCTACTGCTTCCTACTCCCGCCCCGCAAGTCGCACAGCAATTCGACCGGCCAGTAGACTCGCAGCTCCCACAATACCCGAGACTCCAATGGTCTCATCATCAGCACCCATCGAGCAAAAACCAACAACAGGCCGAAGCTCGGATATGCGTCCGACGAATCTATCTGCTCGGCTGGTCAACGCGCGAAATAACCCTTCCAGCTCCTCATTCCGGGCGAGCCAGACCCTAGCAGCAGAGGCTAGCGCTCTCAGCGGCGTCGGCGGCGGCCTGGGACCGATGAACTTTGACGACGACGACGACGAGGAGTCGTTTCTCCCCGATTTAGATATCAACGATCCAGGATTCATGAGCACGCCTAGTAGAGTTAGGCGAGCGCCGCCTTTGGGACGACATGCGTCGCAGTCTGTGCCGCCGGTTATGCCGCCGGTTGTGCAGGGCAATACGGTATTTGCTTCTCAGTACCAACCCACCCCCCTACCAGCACAAGACGACCACCACCGCCCCTCAAGACCAGACCGACCAGACCGACCAGAACGATCCTTCAACGCCCGCAAATCCCTCTTCCGCCCTTCCACTGCTCCTCCCCCATCCACCAATAACAATTACCCCGGTACACACCACCACTACCCGCCCTTCTCGGGACCACCAACAGCCCCTTCCACCTCCATGTCGGTCGGCACTAGTACCCCCTCAGCAATCCTCGCTAGTCCAAGGGAACGAGAGTTAAGGAGGGTGTATGCGGAACCTAGTACCTCTAGTGCTGCTGCTACGGGGGTGGGGGTGGGCAATACGTCGGGGATCCTGAGAGGGGGGAGGGAGTGGACTGAGCGGGAAAGAGTGGAGAGGGACAGGGGGGTGTTTTTTAGTGATATTCGGGAGGAGAGTGCCGAGGGGTGATTTCATCAGACTGTGCTTCTTTTGGGTTGATCAGGGTTGAACGGGGTTGAACGGGGCTGAATTCAGTGTTGAATGGGTATGGAAAGGTGTGATGTCGAGGTATATTGTGTTGGATAGCTGTGGGCAGGCTGCTGTGGACAGGCTGTGGAGGAAAGTAAATGCCAGAGGAAATGTGGGAATGACATGGATGTATGGATGGGAGCAAGGCGTTGTCGGTTGTAATGAAAAAAGGGGAAAGCGAAAAAGGGCCCGGGAGGGAGGTGTCCAAAAGCAGAAGAAGGCATGTATCCTTGGCTGGTTGGCTGACACTGGCTGTCATTATTCATGTTGTTGTTGTTTGGTGGTGTATAGGTTGTTCCCCCTTTCTTGGACGTACGTGGTGGTTTTACCGTTTGTCGATTAGGTGTTGTTGTAGCAAGGTACCTACCTGACTACACTACCTCCACGTTATGATATGGTAGAGGTAGGTAACATGGTAGAATAGCTAGCAACCAGTTGGATAGGTTACGCATATACCCCTGGGAATCAATCACAGAATCAAGATCAAAATCAATTGAGAAGTAAATAGTCTAGTGCTTCGATGTTTTTTTCAGTTATTGTATTGTATTGTGTCATCATCACAGATCACTTGATTGCTTGCTTGGGTGGGTGGGTGCTTGGGTAGGTAATGATGTTCCCATGCTACCTATCTATCTATCTATCTATCTGTCATGGTAATTGAGGCATGGCCATGGACATGTGGACGTACCATTGCACTGAATGAGATGAGATGAGGTCACCTGCAACCAACTCATGATATCCCACTATCTCCATCATGTTATCAAGACTCCTCACAACCTTTCGTTTCATGTAATCAACCAAGTCACTTTATCAAACCGCAATTTTTTTTTTCTTTTTTTTCTTTCTTTTTTTTCTTTCTTCTTTTTCTTTCTTCTTTTTCTTTCTTCTTTTTCTTTCTTCTTTTTCTTTCTTTTTTTTCTTTCTTTTTTTTCTTTTTTTTCCTCTGTTTAATTTTTTTTGGCCCTTGGGGATATTTACACATGATCCACGCGGTCGTATCAAGAGGATCGATCGATTTGCAATGCCACCTACCTTAGTCACGGCATTAAATTGTGGTGCGCAGAGACGCTACCTATACTCGGCTGGCTGTATATATAATGGCGCCGGAAGAAGAATATTGTTGCCCAGGAAGGTGTTCGAACACATTCATTTCATCACCATCACCATCACCATCATCACAACCATCACATCACATCACCGGACATCATCACCATCACTACTAGGAAAGCCAACTCATTCATTCCCCCAAGACACCTAAGGAGAACATGCCACCTTTTCTATTTCTCAGTCTCTCTAAAACACCTGTCCTATCCTAGAGGTATACTTGGTTGCATCCTTTATATCTTACTCATTGGCATCCAATGTTATACTTAACCTACCTAACCTAACCTACCTAGGTACGCTTCACTAACCCGACAATCTACAAGTACCTGGGTGTCCAAACTATTTGTCCATTTCATTCTACTCAATCTACTTACTCATTCTACTTGAAGAAACCAAAGCCAACCAAACTACAGCCAACTACACCTTTTCCCCGTATTATCACCCAGGCAGGGATGCATCAAATCGCTTGTTTCTCAATTTCTTACTTTGTTACTTTCAGACGCAGTTTCCGCTCAGGGCTGCTAAGGTAGCTAAGCTAAGCTAAGCTAAACTAAGCTACCCTCCTCTTACTCGTATTTCCCTTTCCTTCCATGTCTCTTTTGTTTCCGACTCTGTTTCTGACTCTGACTCTGAATCTGACTTGTCCGCTTCGGAATTCCGTAACTCCCTTCTGCGTCTCCGTCTCTTGTCCCTTTCAAAGTCCACCAACAGTCTTCTGGGAACAGACTTGAATGTCACAATCTCCTTAACTTCTTCTTCTTCTTCTTCTCCATTACCAGTGACGACACCAGTACTATTGCGTATACAAGTAAGTCTTGGTCCTCTGGTAGCTTTTGATTCCTTGTCAATCCTAGCATGCTCGTTCTTATTCTTATTCTTATCTCTACTCCTCCGTCCAGTTCCTCCAACATTCCCTCCCTCACCCCCCTTCTCCCTGCTCCTATTCATCTCCATTTCTCCACCGTCCTGCGCCTAGCGATGCCCCGCCGTAAAACCCTGCTTACTCAATAGCACATTAACACTCTCCCGCGCATTACTCGTATCCCAAACACTCCCCTTTCCACCCCTCCTCCACTCGTCGCCCACGGGGTCTTCCACCGCCGCCCCGGCCCTCGTGGCTTCGCCCATAATCACCTCCAGATCCCGCTTCTGGCTTGACAACCAGTTCTTGACGAAGCCAACGGGGTCATTGGCCATGGAGGTCAGGAACGTATGTTTGGCCTTGGAGTCGCCAACGGCTTGGATGAGCACCGCCAGGGACTCATCTAGCTGATGAATCTCGCGGAGGGTTTGAGCGTACGAGGGGTTGTGGATGAATGGCACCAAGTGCTTCGAACGCAGGGGGTCGTCGACGGAGACGCGGATGTCGTAGATGGTCGGTTTGGGAGCGTCCGGCGCAGAATGGAATTCCTGGTCCACGCGGATAGTATAAGGGAGCTTGATGGGCGGCAATGGTCTCAAGTGCGGGGTGACGTATTCGTTCAGCTGGGGAATGTGTCCCGACTCTCTCCCAATAAGCTTCTGCAGCAGGTCGTCGCACCGAAAGTTGCGCTTCTCGTCGTCTTCTTGTAGCTTCATCAACTTGATGTACTCGAACAAGCCGGCGACGGCTTCCTGGCGGGTTGCCTCCGTCATATCGATCACGTCCGATAGCTCGGGGGAGAGCTCGTAGCGCTCCGGGTCTTCGTGGCGGTAGAGGTTGATGGTGATGTTAACATTCTCGTCCCCGTGGCGCTTGAAGGTCAGCTCGTCAAAGTCGGCCGAGGCGGGCAGGTTGGGACCGGCGGGCGTGCGTTCGGGTTTCTTCCATTCTATCGCGGTGGTGTCGACGGGCAGACGGCCCGAGGCGGTGGGCTGGTCGAAGTCGACTGTGAGGGCTTTGAAGAAGTGAGAGAAGCGGTAGCGCTGGCCGGGCTTAGCGGGGACGGGTTTCGCTCCAGACTTTGTTGCTGTCTTTGTGCTGTCGTCGGTTGTGTCCATCTTATCTCCATCCTCCTCGTCCTTTGTGATCTCGTCTTCGTCGTCGAGTAGTCGGCCTTCGATCTTGACGCGGTATGTGGATTCGAGGTTGGAGGGGAAGTCGAAGCTGTCGACATTGAAGTTGTTATTCTGCCAGTACTGGTCTTCGACGGTGTTGGTGATCCAAACGCGGAGTGTCTTGTACCGCTGTTGAGTGTTGTCAGTCAAGCTCAAACCTCCTTGGAAACAAAATAAGAGGCAGTATATACCTTTGCATTCCTGCTAACCGAATCCACGATATCCAACCTCTTGCGACTCATGGTAGCATCCAGCCGCCTCTCGAAATCGCGTAGCTTCTTGTAAGCCACAGCGACATCGCCCTCGCCCACCAAAGTCTCTTCGACGCCATCGGGTAGGGTCTTGTCGGTAGGTTTGCGACTCCGGAGCTTGGCCAGGTGGTTGACAGCTTCGCGACGGTGTGATTCTTGTTGGATTTGCGCCTGGGTGATGGGCAGTTGGTGGTGAGCAGGACCGGCCGACATCATGGGCCCTGTGAAGAGAGAAGAAAGACCGGAAGAGGTTAGTCGAATGTGTAATCAAAGATTTGCGGTGATGTACCGAGCGAGAAAATGGGGAGAAGCCAAGGGTCGTCGGGTGGGTGGAGGAGAAAAAAGTTAAATAGAAGAAAATAATCCAGCGGGGAAAAAATATCCAAGAAAGAAAGCCAGGAAGAAAACAGGGCAAGGTGCTGCGGTACACAAGATTGTTGTCAAGAATTTCCTTGTGTTCCAAGATGCAAGAAACAGGAGCGTGGGGTTTCGCGCTTGCAGTATGTAGGTATGTTGAATCTTTCCCTGTTAAGCTCGTCGCGAAACCTGAAGCACGTTCAGCTCCGTCGTTCGACCGCGGCCGACGGGGTAGTATGTAGTATGTAGAGGTAGGCGGGTCGGAGTGTCCAGGCACACAACGAACGCACGACGAGGGACCCGGACCCAGTCAGTTTGAATCGTCGCCCCTCCCACCCGTCCCCATTCAAGTCCCAAGTCCCGCTTCCCAAGACTCAAAAAAAGATAGACCATCGTTCCCCCGAACGTCCGGGTCTAGCATTGGAAAGGTTTGGAACTAGTCGATAGGTCGCGGTGGAGCAATCTGCAAAAAGCGGAGATCTTTGACGTTTGTCCCACGCCCGTTTCATGCATCATGTTCTCTTTCCAACATCATATCAACCACAACTGTTTACCTTTTTCCTATCCTTTCCCCTTTTTTACCCTTTGATGACGCGGCGTTGAAGGGAAAAACGAGGGATATAAAATAACAAAGAGAGAAAGAAAAGAGGAAGAAGAAAAAAACAACTTACCAATCCCCCCTCTCCTTGGCTGTGGCACATGATGCTGCTGTCCCCCTCTCGGTCCCCCTCCCGGCCCGGGATGAGGATGATGTCCCACCGCCGCCTGCGGAGGCAAAGGGACCTGTGAATGTTGCGGCGGTCCTTGCGGCGGTCCAACAAGTTGGGGGTTGTGGTGACCCGGTGGTGGTGGTCCGATGGGTGGTGGTGGTCCTGGTGCATATCCACGGTATTGGGGTTGCAGGGGCTGCATCTTGTCTTGTCCTTGTCTTGTTCTTTTTTTGTTGAAACTCGCGTGTACTCGATTTCGGTTTCGTGTTTGTTGCGCTCTGCGGGGAGGAGGACGAGTTGGTAACCGAATTTCCACTTGGTTGCTTGTCACTTCTTCTTCTTCTTCTGCTGTATTACGTGCTTCGTGTCCTCCCTTGTAGTTGTGATTACGCGTGTAGTACTGTACTGTACTGAGTTGGTGTTGGGTATGGATTCGCTTCGCTTCGTAGGTGGTTCCGTTCTTGGGTTCAAGGATGGACCGAAGGGAAACGCGTTTCGATCGCGTCGTTCGTTAGCTGCGGCGGGCGGGCTTGTCGCAAGTCGCAGTCGCAGTCGCAGTCCGGGGCCAGCAATTGATTGATGGAGGTTCAGAGTTGGGGTCGGGTGGAGCCAGTAATTGTTAAGGTCAAAAAGATACATCCAACAAGTACCGCATCCACAAGGCAGGGACATTGGCAAGTAGAAATGTCACGTCTTGGCACTCGTGGTAAGGTCATGTGACACCCCTGAGAGAGACCAATTGATTCTACTTAGAGGTAGGTACCGGGTGATGACCTCCGTCCAAGAAAAGATGGTCAAGAATTACTTGTACTAAAACAAACCGATAAAGAGAAGCAAAAAAAGAACCGCTGACGAGGTCACAAAAAAACCCACACAACAAAAATCCAGCGTCCGATTCGCAATACCTTTTATCCAATATTTGCTTTTGCATGTACAAGGTGTGAACAGTATTAGAATTTCGTACCTTTCCCTTCTCCCCATCTTTCGCTGCCTTGGCTGCTGCTTGGCTTACTGACTGACCAACTGACAGACTAATTGCCGTCGCTGTCTGCTTGCTTGCTGTCTTTATATGCTGCTGCTGCCTCTCTCTATTTGTTTGTTCCTTCCCATCGGATAGAACATTGACCTTGGTTCGTCATCCACCACCACCCCTCCTCCTCCTCCTCCACCAACAACAAA